TATATATATATATATATATATGTGTATATATATATATATATATATATGTGTATATATATATATGTGTATATATATATATGTGTGTGTGTGTGTGTATAATATATGAATTATGAACTTTCTCTAGTATCAAAGAATCAACTTTTTAAATAATCATTCTGTTGGACGGATCATAAAATAACTGAAGTATTTCTGATCTTAGTCAACAAAGAGGAGGACGGATTGTTTTTTGCTCTGAACCAATCAGCTGTCAGAGATCCATCTGATCACTGATTAACTCTTCAACGTCTGATGGAGTTTGGTTCTTTCTGATGTAACTCTCAAAATATTTAACCCCAACAAGTAACCAGTAACCAGCTGTGTTTTCAGCTTTAGGAGAGGAAACGTAACGCTACCATCGTACCTGTCTCACTGAAGTGACGTCTACATTTCTTTTTATGATAAAGAAGTTCTTAGGGCTAAATAAATAGTAGATAAATACTATATATATGCTAGATAAATAATAGATAAATGCCAGATAAATATACCATATAAATACTAGACAATTGCTAAATAAATACTATATAAATAATAGATACATACTATATAAATAATAGATAAATACTAGATAAATAATAGATATAAATAATAGATATATAATAGATAAATAATAGATAAATACTATATAAATAATAGATAAATGCTAAATAAATACTGTTAGAAAACACTGTTGTGATGTCACAACGTTTACAATCTAGGAACAGCTTCACAGTTTTAAACGTTCTGAATGTGTTGAAGGTTGAACGACGTCAGCTGACAGGAAGTAAACATGGACCCCAAGTTACATGAGGCAACATGAGGCGTGTTGAAATGGAGCGTTTAACCCATGAACAGTGAGTAACACTTCATTCAGAGTTATGTGAACATTTAAAGTGTGGAAACAATAATCCGACCACGATGAGCCTGATGAGTCTCTGTATGTGTCGGACCGTGAGCTTTGTGTTAATCAGTAATCGTTGTCAGCTGACCCACATACTGACCTGCAGCTAATCATTAGACACACTGGACTCTGTTAGAGGAGCAGTGGGGGGTTTGTGGGTTTTGGGGGGTGACGTTAGACCTGCAGACTGAGTTTGAATCTCTTCATTCAGTTTCAGACATTATGGCTCAGCTGGTCGAGTGTGTCCCCAACTTCTCAGAGGGTCGAAACAAAGAGGTTTGTCTTTTATTTAGTTGTTTCTTTAATCTGTAAGTTTCTAAATCAATGTTCTCAATGATTACCTGCAGAATATCAGAATATACAAACTAGAGTGAAGTACAAGTACTTAGAGTTACTATGTTATGAAACGTTCATTCATAACAATAATGAAGCAGGTGATCGATGATTATTGTCTCAGGTGCTTATTGATTATTGTCTCAGGTGATTATTGATTATTGTCTCAGGTGATTATTGATTATTGTCTCAGGTGATCGATGCCATCGCAGCAGCCGTCTCCGGCACGCCGGGCTGCAGCCTGCTGGGAGTCGACCCTGGAGCCTCCACCAACCGGACGGTCTACACCTTCGTGGGCTCACCTGCAGCCGTGGTGGAGGGAGCGCTGAATGCCGCCCGGCAGGCCTTCAGCCTCATCGACATGAGCACGCACTCAGGTGAGCAGCTACTTACCTGTTCAGGTGAGCAGCTACTTCCTCATCACAACAGGAAACCGCTGACATGTGTGTTACCTGTTCAGGTGAGCATCCTCGGACCGGAGCACTGGACGTTTGTCCCTTCATCCCCATCCAGAACGTTTCGATGGACGACTGTGTTCACTGTGCTGACGTCTTCGGACAGAAACTGGCGGAGATGCTGAACGTCCCCGGTGAGATACCTAATATCTGATTCATGTCTGATTAATAACCGATTAATAGAGCTATGTTAGCATTGTGGCTAATACTCCCTTTATGTCTTCAGTTTATCTTTATGGTGAAGCAGCACAAAAAGAATCCAGAAGAAATCTTCCGTCTGTGAGAACCGGAGAGTACGAAGCTTTACCTGACAAGGTGAGACACAAACTCTTCTAAGAAGTTTACTTTCTGTCTCTTCTTCAACCAAGGCATTGTGGGAAATGTAGGAGACCAGTAAGTAAAGAGAGTTTAGTGAACATTACAGAACTGTGTTGTAGTTTCAGAATAAAAGCCCTAGAAAACGCCTAAAACAGGACAAATGTTTTATTCTGTCTTTGTGTCCACCAGTTGAAGCTCTCTGATTGGTCCCCTGACTTCGGTCCTGCCGTGTTCGTGCCGTCGTGGGGCGCCACGGTAACGGGCGCTCGCAAGTTCCTCATCGCCTTCAACGTGAACCTGATCGGCACCAAAGAGCAGGCTCACCGCATCGCTCTGGACCTCAGGGAGCAGGGCCGAGGGAAAGACCAGGTGCATGCTGGGAGTTTGAGTTCTCAATGTCTATCCTCCACAAAACATGAATTCTTCACTTTGTCAACTATTAAATACATTCAGTGAATCTCATTTCATAGAAGTTGTATAACCTCTGCCTGTCTCCTGACCAGCCGGGGCTTCTGCAGAAGGTGCAGGGGATGGGCTGGTACCTGGACGAAGCCAACATTGCTCAGGTGTCCACCAACATCCTGGACTACGAGGTGACCCCCCTCCACACTGTGCACCAGGAGGTCTGCAGGCTAGCTGAGGTCAGAGGACATTCAACAAGCAGAAGTATCATCATATTGTTAGATTTTGATCATTGATAATTGATTATTGATCGATGTCGTACTCAGGAGCTGAAGCTGCCGGTGGTGGGCTCTCAGATCGTAGGCCTGATCCCTCTGAAGGCCGTGCTGGACTCTGCTGACTTCTACATCCAGAGAGACCGACTCTTCATCGTGGAAGAGGAGCACAAAGTCCGGCTGGTGGGAGACTGAATATATTTTCTATATATTGAGCATTAATTATGGATGAAATGAGAAAGACGTGACGTCTCTTTGTGTCGTCAGGTGATCAGTAAACTCGGCCTCGACTCTCTCGGTCCGTTCAACCCGAAGGAGAGAATCATAGAGTGAGTCTTTACCTTTTATTGTAGGTAAACAAGATGGTGAGACTTTATTACTGACACATAATTACTTTAAATATTCATAACCAGGTGTTGTTACCTGTGCAGGTACATGGTGAGGTCACAGGAGAACAGCCGGCTGGTGTCTCTGTCTCTGCAGCAGTTTGTTCAGAGTGTTGGCGCTCGAACGGCGGCTCCTGGTGGAGGATCGGTTTCTGCTGCCGTCGCTGCTCTGGTACCAGAACGCATCATTATTAAACTGTAATATATATATTCTGTATATTATAAAGTGTGATACCACCTGTCCTGTAGGGGGCAGCGTTGGGCGCCATGGTCGGTCAGATGACTTACGGGAAGAGACAGTTTGAGAAGCTGGACAACAGGATGAGGAGGCTGATCCCTCCGTTCCATCAGGCCACGAACGAGCTGCTGCTGATGGTGGACGCCGACTCGACCGCCTTCAACAGCTACATGGTTGAGTCCAAAACGTCCTAAGATTTTCTAAATGTCACAAAACCGTCCTAAATGTCCTAAACCGTCCCTCCTCTTCATGAATAGTAATTATTCAACATGTGTCTTTCTGTTGAAGGCGGCGCTGAAGATGCCGAAGAACACCGCAGAGGAGATGAAAAGGTGATTTTATTGAATTATGTAAAACTTTTATAATCAACACAAAGATGAATGTTTACGTACATTATTCATCATGAGTGTATATACAATTACTGTATATGTAGTGTCATACATTCACATTTTAATCATGTTAACATAGTTTACATCAGATATTAAAAGACACTATAATCTGTCATCTAATCTGTAATCTATAATCTATAATCTGTAATCTATAATCTGTCATCTATAATCTGTCATCTGTAATCTGTCATCTGTCATCTATAATCTGTCGTCTATAATCTGCAATCTGTCATCTATAATCTATAATCTGTCATCTATAATCTGTCATCTGTAATCTGTCATC